CGCCGGCCCCCCCGGAGCGGGGTCTGTCCGGTCCCCGGTCGCCTCCCCTAGAAACGAGGTGCTTTTCATCTACCGTGGGTAAAGGGCTGCGGGATGCCCGACCCCTCTCTCAGCCAAACGCCCCCGCGGAGGGCGTTTGTTCCGCGGGCGTTTGTTCCGCGGGCGTTTGTTCCGCGCAGCTCGTTTTTAATCCGAAAAAGGGATTTTTGTTTGCAAAACAAAACCAAGACCCGAGTCGGGCAAAACCACTCGGCAGAGGTTAGATCTTTAGATCTGTAATTATTTTTTTTTTTTCAGAGTCAATTACACACGTGATGAATTTAATAAATTAGGGGCATGCAGCCCTTAATTAAGAGACATATCAAACCAGCGCTATGAAAGCCATTGCCTCAGCTTTGACTTCCTACCAGTGGTATGAATAAAGAGCATCCTTTAAAAAGCGTTTCTAATTACTGTGCGGATAAAAGCAAACACATATTGTTCTTTTCATAATTATTTTAATCTTACACCGGGCATTTTTTCATGCTGTGCCCGCAACTTTCAACCTTTTTATTTTTTCACTTTTTTTTTTTTTTTTTTTTTTTTTTTTTTTTCCTACTTTCAGGAAATGCAGAGTTTGGGAACCGTTTCAGTGTTATTTATAGCCAAGGCTCCGAAAACCAAAATACTCTGGGAAGAAGTCAGTGCCTCTGCCCAGGTCTGGGGCTGTGGGGCACAGCTCCTCACCCCATGCTCTGACTTCATGGATGGCTTAGATGGACCTGGGGGCTCAGTCCCTGGCAGCTGCAGGACTCTGCTCCCTTCACAGTTTTGGTTAATATCCCTTCCACAAAACGTGCAGGATTTCACTAGTTCATCTTGTGCTCAATTTGGTCTCCCAACCTTCCTGCCAGCCCATGCAGCAGTCTTGGAACTCCCCAGTCCTGCTAACAAAAATCACAACTTCCCACTCCCTCTTCAGCCTGGGTGATCATACCTTTTCCTAGGGAAAAGTTGTTTCTTCCCTGTTTAGAAGCTGATTTTGGGAGAGGAATCAGTTGGATATGGATTTTTTTTGAGGTGTGCTCTTCTGCCCAGGCCAGACTGGAGAGCATCTCAAGAAAGGGGCCAAAATGAGTGCATTGTGCTGGGCCTAAGGGTCCCCCTGATCTCCTGCAGCCCTGGTCATCCAACCCCCTCAGTCAGCCAACAAGTATCTGAGCTGTCCCAGCCCTGATAGCATCTTGCCTGGTGCCACAGAGACCAGGACATACAGTTGCACTGTGGGAAGCTGTGTGGAAGGACATGGACCAGAGGTTGTGTTACAAAACCCCACTCATCAGTGGGGCTAATAGTAGGGTTTGCACACTCAGTAGTTATTGCTAGAAGAGTTGCTGTAGACCTCAGTGGGTTAAGGATTAAAGCCAGGCCAGATTTACAAAGAGAGGTGATACCTTTCACCGCCTTGGACCAGCCAACCTTGAGAGGCAGCCTGCAACCTTTCAGGCAAGGGAGCCCTGATCTGGGTTTTTCTCCAGGGGTGAAAATAACAGTTGATCATACAAACTGATGCCTCTCCAGCTGCTCTTGCTAGTCCTCATTTATCACGTCTCCTTCCTCAGAGAGCTCATCTCCTTGCTGGGATGTACAAGCAGAGAGATGCAGGACTGCAGTCAGCCAGACCCAGCCTCACAAGCTCTCCTGCTGCAGTGGGGTTGAGTTTGTCCTTCTCCCCCCCTCCTCTTCCTTTCCCTTCTCCATGCTTCCTGCACCATGACAAGTAAATGAGAATTGATAGACATGCAGGAACAATGCATGTGTGTCAAGAACAATGCACCGCCTGTGGAAAGCCATTGTGGGGCTACTGAAAATGCTACAGATAATTATACCACACTCCCAAAGTCAATGCCTGCTGGAAGGGCGCCTGGGGAAGGAGAGCTCTCAGGAGAGCAGGTCATGGTGACACCAATCACGTCCCTTGGGTGCAGCTTCTCTCCCCAGCTGCTTGGCTGTGGCCTGGTGTACAAGCTTTCATGGCATCCTTGTGGGCCTGGGGAGGCTTCTCTGCACTGTCATTCTCTGGTAGACTGAAGGAAGAAAGGGGACAAGCTTCTCTTGGCACAGAGCAGAAGTTAACTCATCCAGCCTGGTTTCACTGGCTTTTGGGTGCCACAGGAGCACCCGGGATGAAGAAGCATAGTAGGGTTTGCTCATGGCATTTGCCCTCTTCAATGTTATTTAGAGCATTTTCCATCTAAAGCCTGAATTTGGAAGTTTCTTTCCTTCTTTGTTCCTCCCCTCCTTCCTCCTTCTCCTGTCAGCTAAACACAGGAGAAAAAAGCCCCAGACAACACTGAATATGGGGACTGAAACCTCACCGGGACGGGGTTAGGAGAAAATTACAGGAATTAAGGCTTTGCCACTTCCATAGGATCTCAGAGCGCCTGCCCAGCCTCAGGCCAGCAGTGAATTCTCCTGTCCTGGGGAACCGATGTGAGTCCGGGAGCTTCCCCGGGGTCAGGCTTCCCTTTCGTGTCCCCGGGGAGACCCCGAGCCCGGGAGGGCTGTCCCAGGGGCTTGGCCGTCGGGGCTCTGGTTCCCAGCCTAAATCCCGTGTGCCCACCAACTCCGAGCCCCCGTCAGAAGCCGCTGCACGGAACGCGGCCGCATCCCAAGGATGCTCAAAAAGCCCCTTAGCCGCCCGGTGCCTCCCCGCCCTCGGCAGCATCAGGCCCCGTAAGCCGGGGAGGGCTCTGGGCGCCCCAGTCCTGGGGCTCTCAGCTGGATGGGACGGGGAGGGAGGGAGCGGAGGGGGAGGAGAGACGTTGCAGACAAACTGAGGCTGTTTTGCAGGCGCCAGGAGCGGGGAGATGAAAGGGAAGCTCCTGGGGGAAGTGGCTGTGCAGTTTGACTGGCTCCAGCAGCAGTAGCAGCGACGGCCC